GTTGCATCCCTTCTCATATCTTCCATGTTGGGGAAGGTTGTTAGCCCCACTGAGAACCCTAAGCTCTATGTTCAGTTGGCTCTCACGTCTACCTTCTTTGCTGGAGCTTTCCAGGCTTCTCTTGGCTTCTTAAGGTATGTTATTTAATATGCTGCCAATTTATGTTTGCACTAAATTCTGATATAAATAAATAAAATAAAAAACAATCAAGAAGCAACCCTCTGAAACGAACTATATGTGTATTTGCAGACTAGGGTTTGTCGTGGACTTTCTGTCTCATGCAACAATAGTGGGTTTCATGGGTGGAGCAGCCACTGTTGTATGTCTTCAGCAGCTTAAAGGGGTACTAGGGTTGATTCATTTCACTCATGAGACAGATGTTGTATCCGTCATGAAATCTATATTTTCGCAAATGCATGAGGTATACAATTCTCTTTTTAATCTATTCTAATTTTTTACCAAATATTGCACGAGGTATACAATTCTCTTTTTAATCTAATCTAACTTTTTTCCAAATGCACGAAGTATACAATTCTCTTTTTAATCTAATCCAATCTTGCTAATGCTTTACTACTTCCACATATTTTGTCGCTTTTTTTACATATGCCTTTTTGGACATTATTATTAATACAGACCCTTTATGCAAATGGATCCTTATTTTTGAAAAAAAATGGAGATTAGGTGTGGGACCCACTCCACATCGAATTTCAACGATCCGAACAGTCTATTTTGTAAGTCTCGATTCATAGATCATTCTTGCAAAAATTCAATTCAAACAGAAACCATTTGCCCATTTAATTATCAAGACCAAATTTCATTGTTTCTTATATAACAAAGTATTCTTTCATTTCTTTGAACCCAATTAGATGTCTTAAATATTTCCGATTTGGCTAATATTTTGTAAGGATGATTTATAAGGTACAACTTGAAAAATAAACAGTTCATATCGTTAAAGTTGTGAATCCTACAACTAATCCCCATTTAAAAAAAAAATGAAAATCCCTTCCCTTAAAAGTTTCCATTATCAATATTATATAATGGAGGTAATAATGGAGGTAAATTATGTTGCAGTGGAGGTGGGAAAGCGCTGTGCTGGGATGCTGTTTCCTCTTCTTTCTCTTGCTCACAAGATACTTTGTAAGTATATACCACGTACCTATCTAAGATACATACAATCCATTATTCCAAGCTCAACCTTTAACTATAAGATAAGGAATTATTTTCATGTAAAAACTTTTCATGCATGTCGTTTACTATAGCTTGTTACTGTAAAAACTAATTAATAAAGAGTAATCCTACACTTAATTATCAGTTACCATCTTTTTGTACCATATCTTTAATAGAGATGAGCCATATTTCTGTTAGAGAGATAGTACAAATGATGATATAAATAGATATTAAAAATAACATTTTTTATTAACAAAACGTCACCTGAAGCACCAATGCCAGTTATATAATCACTCCAGTTTTTTCATGAAGGGTGATGCTATCTACACACCTTTTTTTTTTAACCTTCCACACACCCTTTGTTATCTTATTTTTGTCATTTGATCATTTTCAATTCATTTGATTTGATGATCGAAAATTGAGAGAGGTGTGTAAAAAGTAAAAAGGAGTGGATGACACCACCCTTTCATGAACCATGTAATTAATTAACTCGATCTTCTTAAGTCGCAAAAAGGTTCATTGAACCAAAAGACTAACGCTTTCCAACATGATTCTTGTTAATTTTAACAATATTTACAACTGGTGGATTGCCCTAGTTGAAAAGAAATTCATCTTTAACTCAATGTGTTTCAAATTTAAATCATCCCCTTCCTTTAACTTATATTAGAACAATAATATTGTTTAAAAATATTAACATATTGTGAATATGGACCACATATTCAAATAACAATCGATACTTAATTACCAATTCAGATTCAGTTTGATAAACATCATTATATAATTTCTTAGCAGGATACAACCGTTAATATACCTCATATGCTAAACTTTAATACTGTAGAGTTGCGACAAAAAGATATTAAGCCAAAATTTTTGTTTTAGGTCCTGAACTTAAGATTTATACCTTTGGGATGGAGATGGTCTTACAACCTAAATATCGATCGAAAACTTCATTTAATTATGATTTACGAAAAAGAAGTGGAAAGAAAACTCATTGTCATATGTAACCGAAAACTTTTTATCCAATTTTTTATTTAGAAAATACATGTAGATATGTAATATATATAGGAGGATGAAAAATATTGAGGGCCTTTCAGAAATTGAAGGCCCAGTACAATTATCAGTTTTTGTACTAATGATGATGGATGCTTATCCGTGCCTATGACAATTAGAGCAAGAGAAAACCGGCTTTCTTCTGGATAAACGCAATGATGCCACTGTGCTCTCTGATCTTGGGAAGCCTACTGGTTTTCCTAACCCACGCTGAAAATCATGGCGTTCAAGTAGTAAGCATTTCACTCTCTCTCTCTCTCTCTCTCTCCAACATATATATACGTTATACACCATTACATCACATAATAACATTTTATTTGATTAATTTGTATGGTATGCTAATTAGATCCTTTGTTTTTTGCAGATTGGACACCTTAAAAAAGGGTTGAACCCGCCATCCATGTCTGAGTTGGCTTTTGGGTCGCCATATCTTTCAACAGCCATTAAAACTGGGATCATCACTGGTGTCATAGGCCTTGCTGTAAGTCCCTGCATTCCTCAAATTTTACTTGCCACTCACTAATTGCATCCCAAACATGCCTGTACTGTTTAGCACTCAATTAATATAACGTGGGCTTAGGCTAACATTGCTAGAGCTGATGGTGAATGTGCAGGAAGGAGTAGCCGTCGGAAGAAGTTTTGCCGCGTTGAAGAACTACCACATTGACGGTAACAAGGAAATGATCGCTTTCGGGATGATGAACATTGCAGGCTCTTGCACTTCTTGCTACTTGACCGCCGGTACATACCATTTCCATGCCATACCTGGCTTCACTATATATGTGAAGGAGGGAATTGCGCTCTCGTTTGTTTGGATGTCGGTTGACAGTCTGATAATATAAACTAGCAACACATTTTTAATCAAACGCATATACTATTATCTAGTAATTTTGGTCGGGCTCATTAATCATACGTTTTGTTACGACTGTGATTATTTGCAGGGCCATTTTCGCGAACTGCGGTGAACTTCAATGCAGGATGCAAAACTGCAGTCTCCAACATTGTAATGGCGACTGCCGTGATGATCACACTGTTGTTTTTGACGCCATTGTTCCATTACACTCCACTTGTGGTGCTCTCCGCCATTATAATGGCTGCCATGCTCAGCCTCATAGATTACAAAGCCATGATCCATCTCTGGAAAGTAGACAAGGTGGATTGCATGGTGTGCCTGAGTGCATACTTCGGTGTTGTCTTTGGCAGTGTTGAGATCGGCCTAGTCATTGCAGTAAGTAGAGCATAGGAAGGGTTTTCTTTTTCTTGTGTTACAAGAAATGGTTGCTTCGACATTTCTGCTCACATAACGTTTATGTATTTGCAGGTTACAGTTTCATTGCTAAGGGTGCTGCTATTTGTAGCGAGGCCACGGACTTTCGCTTTAGGCAACATTCCAAACTCATCGATTTATAGAAGCATCGATCAGTACCCGGTTGCAAACAATATTCCAGGAGTTCTCATTCTTCAAATTGATGCACCAATCTACTTTGCTAATGCAAACTATTTAAGGGAAAGGTAAATAAACTTCTTAAGTTAGATATCAATTCACGAAAACGACGTAGTCAGCATAATAGATTCTTAAACTGTGCTCAAAATCTGGTTCACAGGATCTCAAGATGGATATACGAGGAGGAAGACAAGATAAAATCTTCTGGAGAAACAAGCTTGCACTATGTTATACTAGACATTGGCAGTAAGTGATCAATCTGCAGGAGTCACAAATTAACATTTATGATCTCTGGCGTTAAGTTTTATTATGAGTCTAATGCTAAAATTAAAATCAAATTACAGCGGTTGGAAGCATCGATACGAGCGGGACCACCATGCTTGAAGAGGTCCAGAAAAACGTTGACAGTAAGGGTCTCAAGGTATGACATTATGGTAGACTAGTTCTGTAAGCTGTTCGATAGTTTCGTTCATAGTTTTGCTTGATCATGTGCTTATACTTATGTTTTAATCTTTCTTTTGATCTATCAGCTTGTAATAGCAAACCCCCGAAGTGAGGTGATCAAGAAGCTCGAGAAGTCCAAGTTCATCGAGAAAATTGGTCGGGAATGGATCTACCTTACAGTGGCAGAGGCTGTATCGGCATGTAACTTCATGCTGCACACCTGCAAGCCGAAGCCCGGAGAAATAGAAACAAACAGACAAGATGGCAATGTTTAATCTATGATGACCAAATGGATGAAAGTTTTTAGGGCTAAAGAGCTCCGACCTCAACGATCGGCGGTTTTCACAGAAAGAGAATTACTGTATACACCGAACATAATTGATCCGCATGGTTGGAGGAAGGAGGGTTTTCTTGCAGATGAAGACATAGCTAGGGTGCTTATTAAGTATTAAGCTTATGTATTATTGTTGTTGTGATACACAAAATTAAGCGATTATGAAGAATGCAGATGATATTCGAGGCCAGGCTTCTATATTAATCAAGCCTGAGGGCCTTCTGTGCAGATCGTTTAACGGTGTAATAATCCCTTATCAATGAAGCTTCATTTATCTCAACAAACACAGCAGTTCATGTTCAAGCCACACAATCTGAAGGGGAAAAAACATAAGAAAAATAAATCATTGGACTAAAACTCCTAATTACTAAAAGCTAGCTTCCTTTATGATTTTAATGACCAGCTATTCGATGAATTGTCCAGCAATTACCAAATGCATTATACAAAGAAGTCTTCGCTGTTACTCATCCAAGGAAAAGACAGTGTCACTGTCAAGCAATGTCAAGGTAATGCATAAACAAGCGTCATGACTCGTGCTCATGAACTATGCATCCATCAAGATATTTGAACAATGGTGTAACTCGCATTAGAATAATAAAAGAACCACACATAGAGCATTCATACAGGGCAGCAAAGATGCATGAAACCTATTCAACAGTTACACTGCTATTTGGACAATTACAAATAAAATCAGTTCGGTACTACCTAATTCAAGTTTTCGGTTTCATACATATGCAGCAGACAGAGAGTAAATATTGGAAACAATCCAACTTAATTCAAGCGCCAAACTACTCCTTGCTCTGGAAAAACAGGCTAACAACTTCACAGTAATGGATCTCTCCGCAAAACACAATCACTCAAAACAAAAAGGCTTGAAAATTTTAGAAAGAGACAAAACCTTGAGTAAGCGCATGTTATGATTATAGAAAGCAACTTCTTGCAAATAAGCAGGGCCAAAGAAAACCTTGCAAACTGAGTCAACGCAAAAGACTGTCGCCAGTGCTGTCCGCTCTTTAGAATACACAATCTCCTCACTATAATGGGCCTGAGACTTTCCTCCATCAAATTCCAAATAAAGGAACTTATGAATTGGACTGTTTGAATAAGCACGGAATCAATTCATGGGCACCGATGTCTAACTCCTCCGGATCCCTAAAAGAAACAGAGACATTAGATTCCCTAGCTCCAAAACACTACCGTTGATGTGATCAAATATTCAAACAGATATGAAATGAGAAAAACAAAAAAAAAATATTCTAACAGATAGGTTTTGTACATTAGGTTAGTTGGACATTATTATAACAAATATTAAGTGAGCAACCACACTGAGCCTGCTTACCTGAAAATTTCCTACAAGCCTCCTGAAACTTACATAGATTAAAGTAAAAAAAAAAAAAAAAACAAAAAACAAAAACCCACCTCCCACTATTATTTTTCACATCCATATGTTCAAACTTTCCATTTATTCATTCTCTTAAAAGCAAAGTGGACAATACTTCAATCGTTATGAAGCTTAAGTTTTGATGAAGCACATGATGTGTTATGAAGCTTCAGACTTTGCAATACATTCTTGGTAATTTAAATAATAAAATTAAAAGTCATCCATACTTGAGCTCGTATTTAGTTACAAATTGGCACTTCCTCATAAACAGATTGTGTGTGTGTGTGAGAGAGAGAGAGAGACCTGCACAATGTCTGGCCCAGTTCACTAGAACTAGAAATAAACCACAGCTTCCGCAGGAAAGGGGTCTCAAATTGCACAAAGAAACCATCATGTTGCCCGTGTTTCCATTTCCTTGATCCTTGACCTTTCCAAACCTGCAAAAAGTATTTGATCAATAAAATTCTTTGTTAACAACAAAAACCTTTTATTGATTCAGTCAATACTCTGCCCTAGATTAGATCACCTGCGAATGAAAGTTGGATTTAGCAAATTGGAACCAGAGAGAGCTAGTGACATCTGAAACAGACCAATCAACAACTTTTTTTTTTTCTGAGACATACCAATAAGTAATTAAAACACTTGTAGTCTTGCACACACACACACCTACACCCCACACAAAGATACAGACACTTAGGCACATGTAACACGCACATGTGGCACGAACAAGTCACGACTTATGATAAATGCTCATTACATTCCTTCTTTTTTTTCTTTGAGAAGAAAATGCTCATTAATTCCTTAACTATAAATAACTCAAGAAGGTAACGATTGAAAATGCATGACAGATGCTCCATGGCACATTGCAAAAGCATCTATGAGCAGCTTTTTCTTGGGCCTTTGCAAGCACCCAAATTCAAATTGAAACATGTTAAGATTTGCCTACGTGCTTATCATCTAAAGAAAGTTCTCCATCATGTCACACGATGAACCTTAATAATTGTCTTCCCAACAGAATCAACTTTATACCCGGTGTAAATACAAATGAAGTGAAAAATGTACCTGTGGATATGACATGATACTTTTGGGAGTCACCAAGCAAGCTGCTCTGGAGAAAGAATCCTCAGCATACTGCCTAAGAAATGAAAAACAACTACCATGTGTATGGGGTGATTCAAAGGCCTGGAATAACGGGCAAGCATTGATTAGTTAAACAAAAAATTCACCTGTTAGTATGGATAACGGTAGCAGAATGATGGCTCACAGTTCAAAAAGAATATACTTAATGCAATAAATCGTTTTATCATAACAGCAAAAAAGGGGTCATAGGACCAAAAATGCTTACTTTTCAACCAATCAGAAAAGGGATACTTTGAAAAAAAAATGAAAGCTCTAAATTTAATACCTTATCAATATTCACAGCTGGAGCATATTTCTCGGTGTCTGTTGTTTCCTTATCTAGGAGAAAGTAAACTCTAGCCTCCACTTTAGAAGTTTCATGCCATGATTTTACAGCTGACTCCATTGTCTCAACAAGGAAAGAAAACATTTCTTCCCAACATTCTTCAGATCCACGCTTCACAGACTGCAAAGAGAAAGGGTGACTTAATTATTAGGACTGACTGAAACAGTCCAAGTGCAGGTGATCTTAAGTCTTTATATAAGCTTCTGGAACTCAATGTGTTAAACCTTCAGGGGGCTAAGAATGCTTCTACATATAATATATGAAAGTTGGCAAGTCGCACCATTCAGGGGAAGAAAGATAAAGCAGATTGAAACAAGAATAATTTATATAAATGACTGAGCAATTATATTTCTCACTCACGCACAAAGATAATAGAAGGCATCAAAGTGAGAATAATAGTGTACAGTGTTTTCTGAAAATCACGAATCCTTGAGAAATACACTCACCATTTCAGATTTCAGTTTATCTAAATGCATCGCCATATCAACATTGGATCTCATTTTCTCCACCTCTTCTGCACGCGTTTTATCTCTCGCCAACTGATAAATCCTTTTTATCTTTCTTGATACTTCTGTGCTTTGCGAGTTATATTGCAAAGCTGTTTCGAAAGCAGCCAAAGCCTACAACATGTGATGAACAGTAGGATATCAGCAAACCAATTTCGTGTGATCTTGTCCAGAAGGCCATAAAATTGGGATGAGTGAAAGAACTTCTAGACATACATCATCATATTGTTCCATGGCCTCTAATACGCAACCTTTCCTAAAATATCCCTGAAGATGCATACAAAAGATTCTTTTAAAGGAAGAAATAACAAAAATCAAGACTTTTGGATTTCTAAAAGTAAAAGCTTGTTGAAGCAAAATAGGATTTTAGAAAAGATACAATAAGATAACAGTACCTTCTCCCACTGGGGGTTCAACTTAATTGTTGTCTCTGCATCAGCAAGGGCTTTGCTAAGCTTAACCAATCGAAGAAATGCTGCAGCACGGTTGCTGGCCAACAATGTAACATCAAAATGAAAGGAGATGCATCAGTATCCTTGCAATGATTGTTACACGAGAAAGTTCAGCCAAGACAGTGTATCCTTGGAAATGTTAATTTTTCATTACTCATGCTACTTCATATGGAAAACTTCAGTGTTTGAATTAAGATCCTTTAAATAACAGTAAACAGCAAAAACAACCCTAGCTTATATACAAAATAATGAAAAATATACATAAAGAAAGTCGACCAATAATCATTCAGTATTATGAAAGCAGCAGGCTACCGAACTATTCAAAAACCATTACAAGATTACCCTAAGCTTTCTCTAACATCTTTCACAGATCAACCCTTTGTTTTAACAAATAGTATAAACACTACGCATGTGGTAGCACTTGAAGCAGGAAAAATACATAATAGACCCTGAAACAATTGTAGCATTTGACATAATGGACCAGATTTTCTTTTCACGTTTACTTGGATATAAAGAGACCATAGTCACACTTTGACATCCTGAATGTGGTACCAAAGTAGATATTCTTGCCCCAACAAGGTTTTGTTTTCAAATTTATATCCCAGTTTTTATTCCTAATGGCCTTGCTTTCTTCTACAAATTCCATATTTCATAAGACCTAAGAATATTTTTCCACACAAATAAGTGAAACGCTAACCAAAATCTAAAATTCTCTACCGAAACAATACCATTTTTTAGTTCAAATAATCCAGAAGTTTTAATGCCACTCAAGCGCAGGAAAGCTGAGGCTTCTATTGGATTCTATCTCATCGTATCACATTCTGTTCTGCGATATTTGGGAATCACCATCAATACCTTGGCGTAGGCCCGGGATAATCCTTTGTTCCACAGTCTGGGGCTATTTACAACTATCCAATTAATAATTCTCAGATGTACCAGCAAGTGCATCAAAGATGCAGTCATCGATTCGCCCGAGAGGCCACAATTACCGCGAGCAAACATATTAATGATGAGGAACGCATTTTTGCTATGTTACTAATACTTGTACGGTTATGCAGACATTTTCGGTTACAAAATCTATATCTTGTCTACCAAAGTCGCTGAAATTCTTCCGGTAACGTATGAAAGGAATTCATTCTGTATCTGAATACCATAACTTTTGTTAATCAAAATAACGAACAACAAACTCAGTATATCAACTCCGAACCTCATGTAACTTCGAAGTTCATAAAGATTACAAAATTCTGGGGGAGTTCAAAAGAGCATACATATACAACATGAACAATAGAACATTCATCTGGTTTCCACATAAACAAAGTACACAAGCAAGTGGCCCTTTACCACAGTGTTCGAAATGAGTTGAGGTACGGCGTGAGTTCAAATCCTGTCGGTGGCTAATCTAACAACTAATTTAACAAAAATCTATCGATTGACCAAAAAAATTCAAAACTACAAAATCCCAATAAATAAATAAATAAACAAATTAAAAAATAAAAATAAAAAAAAGAAGGATATTTGAGGTTGTTAATGTATGTACGTACCTATAGAGAGTGGGGTTATTGGGGTCTTGCTTGATTGCCTGAGTGTAGAGCGCAGCGGCTTTGAGGTAGTTCCCTGCTTTGAACTGCTCATTTCCTTTATCTTTCAGAGAGTCAGCTCCTCCACCTCCAGCCGATGCGCCCGCCCTACCTGATCCTCCCCCCTCTGCTTCCGCCATTCTTATATACTTCTACTGACTGTCACTGCTCACTGGGGTTTATGAATTACTGCAAGTAAAGCTCCTCTCTCCTGCGATTAAACCCCTCATTGGTTCCTCTGTTACGTTTCAAGAACCGTGATTCCGACCGATAGTTTCACCTGGACTTCAAAAGTGAAAATGGGTCGGCCTGTTTTGTCCGGCTTGGGTTTAAACCGCTTCATATCTAATTGGGTCAGAAAGATTTTTCGAATTAAAAGGGCTCGGCCCAAAGATATTATAATTTAGACTTGGAAAATTAGGGTTAGGTTCGCGTTGTTCAAGTTGAGCTCAACCTTACATTGAACCCTTTTTTTTTCTTTTTTTTTTTTTTTTAAATTTTATGGAAACAACTTTACGTTGATTAACCTATTTTGCAACATTTAAGAACTTGTTTTAGAATAGTTAAATACATTTGGAAGTTCTTTTACAATTAAATCTTGAGTTTGGGTTGTGTGTTGAGCTCATTTTTAGGACTTTGGGTCTGATTTCAAATTTAGAGTTTACGATTTGTGGTTCTAGCATTCACAACCCGAGCTCGAGTTTAAAGCTACATACGAGGTACACAACTCAATTGCACAGTATAAATACGAGTTCAAGTTATAGGGTCTAGGTTATATGACCTCAGTTTGAAGCCCAGAGCTCGAGCTTCGGTTTTGAGGTCATAGTCTAGCTAGGATCTAGGGTAAGTCCAAAATCTCTCCTTGAATTATATCTATCTCCCTTTTAATTTTTTATATCTATCACAATTCAATTTTTCGCATGACATTCACAATTGTATATTTACTAATTTCACTCTGTGTTTCCAAATTATGTCTTCAATATTATTACTTGTCTCATATTATGACTTGAATTATCTTCGCCCATCCTCATCAAGTTTCCACTTACAAATTAGTGGGTTTAAATTAATCACCAGTTTAATCAAAAGAAAAACCAATTCCAAAAGAAAACATAAATCAAAAGAAAGCATGTTTGAATGACTATGCAACTACGCGCTCTATCCTTTTAAATTTTTAAATCCACCTGCTCTGTCGTGTGACTTTGATATCTTCCTCGAGGCTTAACTAATTACGTGCTTTGGGATATGGATTCACTTTTATAGAAGACAGTCACACAGTCATATGATGTTATTCATTATAAGTAGAAGTACAATATGATTGATATTTCACAGATCTATAAATAAATAGAAACATGTCTTATAATAACAGTAATTGATAATATCACGTGATAGTGTGATTTTCACGCTACAAGTTTTCTCAATAAGTATAGCGACATCAAATGCAATTATGTAGAACTTTAAAATAGCAAAAATATATGTTTCTTAATCTGTTGAACAATTCTACGTACTTTTCGAGTAGACATTAATTTAAAGCCGAGCTGGTAAAAACCGTGTGTTTGGTAGCATCTTGCTGCTAATTTCCTGCCAACCCTCTTTAGTCTCTAGACTCTCTACAAGAAACAATCATATATATATATATATCTCTCTATCCTTTCCATGCATGCCAAAACATTGCATGCAAAACGAAGGAACATTCTTGTTACCTACTAATTGACCAATGAAGTCGGTGTTGCAGAAAGCCCTGCGTATACTGTACTACTCCAACTAAACAATTATATATTACTTAGCTCATTTTTCCTACATTGATAGAAGATATAAGTCAATACTACCCTCTCAATATCCATATATATATATTCCATTTGCTAAAACATCAGCGAACAGATAATGATAAACAAGCTTCTCAAAACGATGAAAACCCCTAATCTCAATCTAGCCCTCTCTCTCCTCCTCTCTTTCATATTCCTCTCCAAACCCTCTCATCAGGCTTCTAATCCTCCTCCACCCCTCCCCAACCCTAGACTTCTAAAGGCTTACACAGCCCTCCAAGCATGGAAACATGTCATCACCTCCGACCCCAACAACTTCACCGCCAACTGGTGCGGCCTAAATGTTTGCAACTACACCGGTGTCTACTGCGCACAAGCCCCCGATGACCCTCACACTGTCACAGTGTCCGGCATAGACCTTAACCATGCCAACATCGTCGGTTCATTGCCTGAAGAGCTTGGCCTCTTAACTGACCTAGCCCTCTTCCACGTCAACTCCAATCGCTTCTATGGCACTGTTCCATATAGCTTTCGTTACCTTCACCTTCTCCACGAGCTCGACATTAGCAACAACCAATTCTCAGGCCAATTTCCTTTGTCTGTTCTTTACCTTCTATCACTCAAATTCTTAGATGTCAGGTACAATAATTTTCGGGGAGAAATTCCATCTACGCTCTTCGATTTAAAACTCGATGCGTTGTTCGTCAACAACAACAAGTTCCAATTCTCATTGCCACAAAACATCGGCAACTCCTCACTATCTGTGATTGTCTTGGCAAATAATGATCTCAAGGGTTGCATCCCTTCAAGTTTTGCAAATTTGAAGGACACATTAGACGAAGTTATACTCATGAATAGTGGACTAAGGGGTTGTTTGCCATCAAATTTAGGGCTATTGGACAAAGTCAAAGTGTTTGATATAAGCAACAATGACCTAGTGGGCGCGTTGCCAGAATCTACGGGTGGGATGAAGAGTTTGGAGCAGCTAAACGTGGCAAATAACAAATTTTCCGGGAAGGTTCCGGCAAGTATTTGCTCTTTGCCTAAGTTGGAGAACTTTACCTATTCTTATAACTATTTCTGTACTCAACCACCAACGTGCATGAAGTTGCAAGAACAAGATGACAGGAAGAATTGTATTCCATATAGGCAATTGCAACGATCACCAAAAGAGTGTGCGACATTTTATGCAAATCTGGTCAATTGTGATGCCTTTGGCTGCAAACCTAGCTAGAAGTCCAAGCCCGCCACCACCACGCTCACCACCGCCTCCTCCTTGGCCTCGTGTGGCTTATCATTATCGATGATCATAGAGAATAAGAATTTTTTTTCATGCTAGCTAATTGTTGCTTTGTATTGGAGGGATTGTTAACTTGAAATCCCAAAAAAAAAAAAAATTGCATTTAATTTTCTCTTTGACTCGAAATACACGACTTTTGCATTTATTGAACGCATGAATGAACTTCTTTCGAATTAGTAGTTTATCAGTAAGAGAATTGGTAGCCTTCACTCAAAAGCAATTTCAGGAACCAAACGTTGCAAGGGTACCTTGCGGCCGGATCAAAATCTCATTACTCTTCTGGATCCTTCAAGTTTCACTGTAAATTTCACGAAATAGAAATGGGGTCGATTTGGATGATGAATTAATTAGAATAAACCTCGAATTAGAGATATGCATATCAAAGAACAACGGTTCTGCTTCCAAAAAAATGAAAAAAAGATTACAGAAACAAAAGGAAAAGGCCGAAAAAGAAATAAGAGGAAGAACGGTTGTGCGGCGTCGGAGACGAAAAAGGATTTCAGTTTTCTTTTTTATGTTAATTAATATCACATTTTATTTTTATTTAAAACCCTTGCTCTCACTCAGATTGTCAGGTAATCTGATGTACTATCCGTGTTCCCGTCACAATGAAAAATTTCTCGTCATTGTAGGTCCTCACACGCGCTTCTTTGAACTTTCGGAGGGTCCTAGGACCACTTTGATCCATGTATAGATCCGTCCCTTATCATGTTAATATCCTACGATTGAAATATATCTTACCTTAGGATATACCACAAATCTGAAGCCTTTGAACTAAGGCGTTGCCCCTTGAACGTTGGACTTGCATTCACACGGGAATCAATTAGTTGTGAACTTGCTTGTTATTTCTGAGTCGAACCTACGATCTCTCACTAAGTGAAGATAAATATCATTAGACTATAATACTAAATAACTTTAAATAATTTTTTTATTACATGCGATATTATTTACACTAACATATATACACTTTTTATTTACACCTCCGCTTGAAACGTAAGTAGTTGGACTAGAACTTGAACGCTATAAACAAACTCCGGATTTTGGTCCAGACGCAACAAGAGAGCCCATACATTATATTTGAAAACAACAAAGTGTGGGCCGAGCATAACCTAAGCCCAAGATCTTATCCCATTTTCATATAAACAGAGTGTTAGGGTTTCGTGTTTTAAAAAGACAAGGGTTTGCTCTCTCTGCCGCCTTTCCCTTCATCTCTCTGCAGGTACCTCGAGCTCGAGCTCCTCCAGTTCCAGCCATGGCCGTCGGGTACTCTCTCTCTACGCACACTAACATATTTCAGCTCTTGGATTTCTGAATCTTTCACTGACACATTAACCCTTGTTATGACACAGAAAGAACAAGAGAATCTCCAAGTCGAAGAAAGGAGGAAAGAAGAAAGCGTAAGCTCATTTTTTTTTACATCTATACGTATACACTGACTTGTACAGATCTGGCTTCCAGTTTTGTTTTTATTTATCATTTCGTATGCTTTGCTAATTTTGTGATAATCCTGCTTATTTATTAATTAATTTGTATTTGTGAAATGAAAATATAGGGTTGATCCGTTTGCCAAGAAGGATTGGTACGACATCAAGGCCCCAAAACTGTTCAACCACCAGAATGTGGGCAAAACCCTCGTCTCCCGTACTCAGGGTACAAAGGTATTGTTTTTATCTAGCAATCTTTGTTTTAGATTGCGGTTATTGATGAATGGTGCATTTGTTGTGCCCTGCTTTTTTCTGCTCATGGATTGCAAATGTGTTGGTTATACTCTTTTGTTTAGAGTTTTAGGACGGCCTGATTTTGTCTTTTCTGGATGGCTGGGATTTGGAGTGGTGATTTGGGTTTTGTGCTTGCAGTATTCAGTTTGTTTTGTCAAATGGTTTCCGCATACCGTGTTCTCATTCTGCACTCTGTTTATTCTAGTGCGGAAGGGTAGAACAGGGATGTGCGGATATCGCTTGCCTTTTTACGTAGAATATCGCAGTATCTCAGTTTGAGAAATATTTCCATGCATCATTAGTTATTGGACAAAACTTTTAAATGTATTATTGCTTGTGCAGAAAATTTGTACATCAGTTGAGCATTAGCATTTTGTCCCACATGATAACACTCTGTATGTATTGTAATTGTTGACATAGTTCATGCTTTTAACACGTGTTGTGGTTTAACAGATTGCTTCGGAAGGACTCAAGCATAGAGTCTTTGAGGTATCACTCGCTGACCTTCAGGGTGATGAGGAACATGCTTACAGAAAGATGCGGTTGAGAGCTGAAGATGTCCAAGGGAAGACTGTTCTGACCAATTTCTGGGTATGCTTCAATTTTTATGTTCATATGTATATTTTAGGTATCTTTTGTATGATTTCTAATGAACCGGTGCTCATGAATTATTGACTAATTCAGGGAATGAACTTCACCACGGACAAACTTAGGTCTTTGGTGCGTAAATGGCAAACTTTGATTGAAGCTCATGTGGATGTGAAGACCACTGACAACTATACCCTAAGGATGTTCTGCATTGGCTTTACCAAGAGACGTCCAAATCAGGTCAAGAGGACCTGCTATGCACAGTCTAGCCAAGTCAGACAGGTAATGTATACCTTAATATGTAAATACTCCCCCGCACATTTTTCTTCACAAGTGAAGGGTTGATATTTACTTGAAAAAAAATGTGCGGGTAAGCAATGCTCTACTTTAATAACTTGCTTGATGTATCAGAATTTACCATGAATTGTGTCTTATGCATAGTAAGGTTTGTTTTTTATGCCATAATTCTACGTTTATTGTCAGATCCGCCGCAAGATGAGCGAGATCATGATTGCCCAGGCAACATCCAGTGATCTTAAGGGCTTGGTCAGCAAGTTCATTGCAGAGAGCATTGGTAAAGAGATTGAGAAGGCTACAATGAGCATCTATCCATTGCAAAATGTCTTCATTAGGAAGGTTAAGATCTTGAAGGCACCCAAGTTTGATCTCACCAAGCTCATGGAGGTACGCCCCTTCTGCTCTTTCTGCTGTAACATGTTCGGTGGACCGATACTTAAAAATCTATAGTTGTTGATTTTGTGGCTGTATGCCAACTTTAATGAAATGGGTTTGGTGTAACTAGGTTTACGGTGGCGAAGACGTTGGTGTGAAGGTTGAGAGGCCTGCCGAAGAAGCAGCGCCTGAGGTGCAGCAAGAGATCGTTGGTGCTTAAGTGCTGCCTCTGCTATTTCCTTTTAAGTAGAGTGCAGTTTATGTTTTTGTCAACTTAGAAGACCATGTTACTTGCTGCTTGTTTTGTTCTAGCTTTTGAGAAGATTAAACTTGCTTGACCGAAATTTTGTGCTTTTAATCTAAATACTAAATTTCCATTCTTTTATTCCTGTTTGGTTATTCACCGTTTCCGTTGACACCCACGGTGGCTCTACCGTACCAGCCGTATCATACACATCCGGACCGAAATTCGGTAGAGGTTTTGTGCTCGGTATTGGTTTCGATGGGTTTTTTCCCTTTAAAATGGTACCACTAATGTCGGTTTTTTTTATTTTTTTTTTAATTTTTAATTTTTTGAACATACGATATTATCTAATATTAAAACCTAAAATCTTTCACTTAAAATGGACTAGTAAAATTACAGTTTTTTGTGAGAATTAAACTTAAAACTTTTCATTTGCAAGTAGTGAAGAAGAATATCTTTAGTAAAGATGAATATCATTAGATCGTAGTACTAAGTACTTGTATAAATTTATATTGAAAAACTAGATATGTAGGCATAAACTTTAATTGGTTGATTAATTGCAGAAGGCTAGATCTCCAGCATCCTTATTTAACACACACACAACTTAAGATAAAGCTGACTTTACAGAGCAACATACTAGTGGACTAGTAGTAGTGGTACTACTTTTAAACTCTAGCAAAGCATAACTACTGCATGCTGCTTCTACACATGCAGTTTTAGATGACTAGTTGACCGCCATTTTTATTCCTTGCCCTTGTTCAAGCTGCTGCCAACACATCTGTTGGCATCGCTCTTGCGGTTGCCCCTGATCCAGGCACTGATCCAGGCACTGATATAGCTGCCTCATCGTCTCTTGGCACAACTCCTGGCACTGCTGTCCCTGGCCCTGGCAAGCCTGCTCGCACTGCTGCTTCCCCTGCCCCTGATATTGGTAAACTCCGTGCTGCCTGCACTGTTTTACATTGATCCTTCTGCCAAGTTTCACTCATTTTCATCTCGCACTGCTGCATGCATTTATCACTTCCTTGAGATTGGAAGTAAGGACAGCCAAACCTGGCTCTGCAATACTCCGCGCTCGCGGTAAGGGCGCACACTGCACAGGTGGGCGACGGCGGCCAAGGCTGCCAAATATAAGCAAGAGTGGAAGACAGAGGTAGAGAGGAAAAGAGTGGAGAGGAGCAAAAACAACAGAGGAAGCTTAGGATGTATATGTCTAACTACCTTGCTTACAGCTTAAGCTAACATGAGTTCACAGATTATTGACACTCATACTAACCAACCATTGGATCACAAGTCTATTACTGTTAACATTCCCCCTCGATCACAGGTTTGGACTTTCCAAGCCTGAGATTGAAGCAATGGGTTTGAAACAATGGTGCAGACAACCTCTTGGGAACAACATCTGCCAATCATATTTAATCGCCAAAACAATGGCCCCTGGCTTCTTGATACTGGAGCAAATGCCTCATATTACTCTTGGAGCAAATGCTCATATTACAGCGCCCATCTGCCTCTACCAGTATAATATCTGCCCATTCCGTTTACCACCGATAACCTTTGTTACCTTGTAATATTTAAGGACCTCAAGACTCGGAGGACGCTTGTCCAAGAGAGGTGTGAGAATTTGTTATACCCATTTCCAAATGGCAGTAGATTATCCAATCATCATTTTTCAGCATTTATAGGAGTTCGAGTGTCTGCTCAGAAGTAGCATTTCCACCTTGGTCATCCTGCTTCTCCAATAGTTAAGCTTTTAATTTCAAATAAACAAGTACCAGTTAATGGCGCTTTTGATTTAACTTTTTGTCATTTATGTCCATTAGTAGGTTGGAGTTTGTCTCTAAATTTCCTCTACAACTTCCGCATTCAGATGTTTGGTGTTCTCCTATTATTTTAGTTAGAAAGTTATCGTTATTATTTATTGTTTGTTGATGATTATTCTTGCTATTCTTAGATATTTCCCATGAAAAATAAATCTCAAGTGCTTGAAATATTTGTTAAGATTAACAAGCAAGTTGAAAATATGTTGAATCTTTCCATTAAAACTCTTTGGTTAACTCCATATACTCAACACCTAAGAAAGTTTTAATTTTATTATAATTTGGTAGGCAAGGTTTTTTCGACAGTAGGCTTCTATTAGCGTTCCTGCTTCAGATGTTACACAACACCTAAGAAAGGTCTTGGTTCGGAAGTTGATCACACTCGAGCCCCCATCCCTCTCCGGCAGTTCCAAAATCCGGTTAATATATGAAGACGGCCATTTTCCGACTTATCCAAAGCGTACATTCCACACAACCAGGCATTCCGAATGTTACTGAAACATCTGAAGTAAAAAAAGAAGAAAACAAGTGGCTTGTACTAAAATTTTCTCAAATAATAATGAGGCTGTTTCAATGGTTATTGGGAGGTGACAAGATGAAGGAAGCAGCTTATTTTGATTGGATCAAAGCCTATTTTACAGAGAATCCGAGCTAATACACTTCTGCTTTCGCTAACTAATCTGTGAAATGATTCGCTAAACATAATATTAGGATCATTCAATGAAATAAAATATGCTTCCCTCTAAGTGATTACTACCTCGTCATTCTCCATTCGTGGACGGTCTCATGCAGCCACACACACAACCCTTCTTGCGCCTCTCGCTATTTCTTCCGCTGTAAATAAAATCCCTCAGGAGAACGCCTGTTCTGCTTACGTAAAATCCATGCCTCCCTTTCTTCTTATTCTCGTCCTCCAGTTTCAGCAAAATGTAGTGGATGTTCTGCAACTCAAACTGCAGCCTTCCGATCTTCTCAGACCCTTTACTTGCCTCTTTCACTACTCTCTCTCTGCGGACATTTCCAGCCTCCTCCAACTCTATGGAAGTCTGCTCGTCCAAAGACGGAGACTCCTCAATGTTCTTTTTCAGTTGATCATTAGTTTCCACTAGCTGCACAACTGCCTCCTCAACTTCAACCAAGTGTCTTTTGACTGTTTCATATTCAATGCCGTTGGCCCTTTTACCCTTCTTGCTTGTCTCCATCTTCTTATCCAAATCCCGAGCAATCGTTTGCAGACTCGTCAGTTTCTGCGCATCAGAAGCAAGTCTCTCCAGGATTTTTTCCTTCTTGCTTTCATGATGTGGCCTTCGAAATGACACTTCCCGCTTATCAATTCCCAACTCCTTCTCAGCCTGAACTTCTGAAGTAAAATTCTGAATCATCGGCTCAGAATCTGTAAACCGATGGCTAGGGGTAAGATCTTCCATGCGTGCAGATGCCTGATTTTGTTTCTCATTGGGAACAGGATCCTGGTGACTGTATTGTTCGCCAGTTTCCCATAACTCAAGCATCTGATTATCAGCCCCACCAGTACCTCTCCTGCTTTTTCCATGGGATGAACAATCAGAAACATGATCAAGCGGAATGTCTTTCATCCAAATCCCATTATCAGATTTTGTCTTCAGCAACTTGAGATTTTCACCAGTGAACTCCTTTCCAAGTTTCATCTCTTCACTTTTACTGCATTTTTCTTGAAGTGAGGTACCGTTTGATTGTAACTCTTCAATCTCCACAGAGACGTTGCTGTTTTTTGTACTTTCCTGAGTTGAAAGCCTTTCAATTTCTTCCACCATTGCCTTTTCAAATGGTTCCATCACAAGCCTTTCCGTTTCCTCGACAAACATCTTTTCAACTTCTTTGATCATTGTTTGCATTTCTGCCAATTCTGAAATTCCGTGTGGTACCGATGCTGTGGAATGTTGACAGCTATTTTCATGTAGATGATTTGGCGGTTCCACACCCTAGAGGCACAAACATGATAATTAGTAGATAGAAGAAGAGCATAAGCAAGCAATGGTGATGGTCAGAGTGGTCCAATAAGACACAAACATGTTAATTATCAAGTTTTAGCATTAAACTTCAATTATCCACAGAAGACAAGTTGCAAACTAGTGATCTACATCTGTTTCTGTTAGGAAGGCCTTTGCTAGAATAAGAATGTTTTAATTTTAGCGTTAAATTTCAGTTACAAGCAGGACACTTAAAATTAGAACTAACTCGAACTTTCATGTACACTTACAATAGCAGTTAATAGATACACATTTTATCCATACCAATAAGGCCAAAAACACACACAAACACACTTCTACGTTATTGAAAATTTGGGGTTAGGCTGTCAAAACCAAAAATGAGTCGATCTACCTAGCTCAGACTCTAACTGATTGATCATCACAATCATCAATGTTTCTAAATTTCTAAAGAGACGGAAAATATTACCTTATATTGTTGATTTCTTTCCACAAGAAGCTTCGATCTAAGTACAGTATTGTGCTGAAGAGATGCTACATTCTCTCTCAATGAGGCTACGACAGGTACATATGCAGACAACTGGCCCATCAGCTCCCCAACTTCACCTTCCAAGGAGCTAACACTTTCTTTCATTTGTTTGACCTCCACATATTTTGCAGCACCTTCATCTTTAAGACTCTCACAAAAATCAGTGAGCTCATGAACCGTATTTTCAAGAAAAGCTTCACGGACAGCAGAAACTTGAAGATCAAAGAAGAATGTCGCAGCCTCAGCCTCCCAGAGTTCAAAGTCATTGCTTCTCTCTTGTAGCTCGGAACTCAGATACTCTTCTCTACTTCTATATTCTTCAATTACTTCACTTAACATACCCACTTCCTTCTCCAGAGTTTCATTTGCTTCACGAAGGATCTCAATTTCATTTTTCTGATTCGAGTTATCTTTGGATAGTTCTAGAATCTGCCTCTCACAATTTTCTCTCAGAAGATTTGAATCTTCATGTTCCATCATCAGCTCCTGAACAGTTCTGCATAATTCCACATTCAAGTCCTCGGCCTTTCTAAGCTTCTCTTCTACTTCTGAGAGCTCCATGGTTTTCTGCTTCAGAGAATCCTTTCCAGCTAAAATTTGATGGTTTAGCTGATCTTTCGAGTCCTTGACTTCACGCAGTTCCTCGTGCAACAATTGAGCTGTCTCGTTCAGATGTAGATTTTCTACTTCTTTTTCAATTACGTTAGACAAGATTTCATTCTTCAGAATTTCATTTGCTTCACAAAGGCTATTGATTTCCTTTTTCTGGCTTGTGCTATCTTCAGATAGTTCAAGAATCTGCTTCTTGCAATTTTGTTGCATTAGTTTTGACTCTTCAATATCCATCTTCAGTTCCTGAACTCTTCTGCACAATTCCACATTCAAGTCCTCTGTCCTTTTAAGCTTCTCTTCTGCGTCCAAGAGCTTCATGGTTTTCTGTTTCAGAGAATCGTTTCCAACTGAGATCTGATGGCTTAGTTGACCATTTAAGTCCTTGGAGTCACACAGTTCCTTGTCCAACAATTCGACTGTCTCGCTCAGATGCAGATTTTCTGCTTCTTTCATCACTAACTGCTCCTCCAATATCCCAACAGCCTCTTTGAGGTCGTTGTTAATTACAAATTGACTGTTGAGATCTTCAGTAAGTGCTTTTAGTTCTGCAGCTTTCTCGGTTGCGAAGCTCTCTAAAACCAATGAGAGGGTGCTGAAAGCTAGTGCTTCATGGAAATTAACAATATTATCCTCTTCAAGCATTTGATTTTCCTCTTTGAGTTCCAAAAGATCCTTAAGCAAAGATCTCTTATCTTCAAGCACCTTGTAATTTTCTTCTTGCAAAACCACGTAATTGTTCTCCAAATTTGCCAGCTTACGTTGAAGAGTTACCAGTTGAGCCTCTAATATTTCCTCCTTGTGCTCTTTCTCGGTCACTTCCAACCTCAACTCCCTTGTCATCTCTAGAAGGTCATGCTTCTCTTTTTGTAGCATAGAACAATGGTTTATCATGATCTCATACTCCCCCTCAAAGAATTGCTTTTCCGTCTCTGTCTCTGCACCCTCTAATCTCATCTGCCCAAGTACACTTAAGAGCACTGACTTCTCAACAAGCAACTGCTGTTCCTCATCCTTGCTACGTAACAAAGAAGTTTTCAAGTCCTTGATAGTATTCAAAACGTGCGGCATATTTACTTTCCCTGGTTCAGTCTTATCGTCGTGCCTATCTGGTTCAACCTCAAGAGCCCTGAGCACTTGACGAATTCCCAACCTCAACTTGTCGATTTCTTCCACCAAGAATTGTTCTTCCACCTGTAGTTCAAGATTTTCATTCTCCAACTCTGAGATCAGCTTACTAGAAAACTTGGATTTCTCAACGTGTCTCTGACACTCGATGAATAAGGACAAATTCTTCTCTTCCAGATCTTCTATAAACTTCTGAAGGATAAAGATCTCGATCTGGGCATTTAAAGCTTTATCTAGTTCTTCTTCAAAATCTTTCTTTCCCAGCTTTCTTTCTTCCTGCATCAGATGGACATTGTTTTCCAAACCTGCGAATCGGGCCTCACTTGAACGTATATAACTTGCACGCTCTCGTTTTTCTGCAAGGAGGGAACCCTGTAGTTCTTCGAGTGCATTGAGTGTGGATCCTTTCTCCTTCTCCAAATTAGAATATTTCTTCTCCAATTTTGTAAACCGCTTTTCCAGGTTTCGCAGTCTCTCTTCAACATCTTTTAACTGAAATACCAGGGTGCCTCTCTCATTAAGAAGATTGGATTTCTCATTATTGAGAGACTGGCACAACTCTTCTAAGCTGTTCGATCTTGCTCTGAACCGTTCAAGCTCAATGTTTGCAACAGAGAGGGAATTGTCCAGCAAGGTGTTCCTCTCAAAAAGCGTCTGCATATTCTGAGTGATAATTTGTAACTGTGAAAGCAGGAGAGCTTTCTCAGCAACAAGAGTGGATTTTTCTCCCTGAAGAAACTGGCAAGACGCTTGCAATTGTTTGACAGCCTCTCTCAAACCCTCCAACTCAGTGTTCAACCCCAACAGCGAGCTCTCCAAAATAGCATTCTCCTTTGAAAGTTTACCCATATCCTTCAACTTCTCATAAAGAAGTTCTCTTTGTTCTTTCTCCCCTGTGCATATATCTTCTAGCTTCGATTTTTCACTTTGCAAGTCTTTCACAGATGATTCAAAGCATTCAGGATTTAATCCTGCTGACTCCACCTGCTTCACCATAGCTTGATATCTTCTATTCAATCCCTTAATTTCCTCCTCCAAATGTAAAATATGTTGCTGGAGGGCATTGCTTTGGTCTGATTTTACCGCAACCTCCTGTTCAAGTTTCTCTTTCATCTCTTTGATGTTGAAGATTTCATCTTGCAGATTCTTTATTGACACAGTGCAAGAGAGATTCAATTCACTTAGGCTCTTGTTTTCCTCCTTAACCCGTTGGGCATCATCCTCCATACCATTTTTGCGTATCTCCAAGTCCTTCAACATTTGAAGCCCATTTTTGAACTCCAGAGCTAAAGCTTTCTGATCCTCTTGGGATTGACAATGCAACTTCTGAAGAGCGTGGAGAGTGGCTTCAGCTTGCACAAACTGTAAGTGCTCCTCTTGCATCAGAATCTGAAGTTTCTCCATCTGGTCATTCTTCTCTGAAAGTTCTTGATCTTTACTTGTAATCTTCTTCAACAGACCATCCGCCTCTAACCGCAGAGAGTGATTTGATCTCTCCAAGAGATCACATTGTTCTTCGGCACTCTTCAATTTTGCAGCCCCTGTCAAAACTTCACTGTTTAGTCGTTTGGCATCTGCTTGAGCCTGAGAATTTTCACTTTCCATTTTAGCTATTGTATCCATGCACCGCTCGTATTGAAGAGCTGCAGCTTCTTTCTCTTCCATCAGTATAGCCAGAGATTCTTTCAGAGTTTTGACTTCGCCTTCAGCTCTTTCAATTTGTTCATTAAGCATTCTCACATTTTCCTCAGAAACTGAGATTTTAGTCTCCAAAGCAGATATCTTCTCAAGGCATTGCTTGTACTGAAGAAAAAAATCTTCCTTTTCAGCCTGTAGTTTTGAAAGTTCTTGCTTGAGCTTTTGAGCTTCAGTTTCTGCTTTAACAGCCCGCTCGTTAAGTCCTTTTGCATCCCTTTGAGAAAATGATAACATGGTCTCCAGGCTAGATATCCTTTCCAAACAATGATTGTACTGAAGAAGACCAGCATCCCTCTCTGCTTCTAACTCCACAAGGGCTTCCTTCAATATTTTAGTTTCAATATCAGCTTTGCTTGCTCGTTCATCGAGCCCTCCAACAGCCGTTTGTGCATCATCTAGTTCCCTCCCCAGTGTAGACAACTTCTCCAAACTCTGCTCGTACTGAAGAAGGACTCCGTCTTTTTCAGATTGTATCTCATCTAGAGTTTTCTTTAAGGCTTGAACTTCAGTTTCTGCTTTTGCAGCACGCTCAGATTGAGAAAGAACCTGGGTCTTGAGACTTTGGTTCTCACTAGTTAATTGAAAGTACCCATTTTGGAACTGATGTTTGATATCTTCTTCCTCATGAAAATTTAAGCCCTCTCTCATCCTTCCCTCTACTGCACCCTTTGAGCTATTTGGCACTTCTCCTGGAGTGAACATCTCGGTGAACTGTTTTAGACCCCTTCTGCTTATTCCAGAGTTGGAGTCTGCTGAGTTTCCTCCATTCCTTTTCAAAGCTTGTAAATTGGTTGACGAGAGACCCAATGTATCCTTATGCAAGTCATCAGGGTTAAATAAGGAACGAACTGGATGTGGCATTTCTGGTGTATGAGGTCCAACATCTGGGCCAGAAGAGCCTGAGGGCGATTCATCAGCCAATACATAAGGTACTTGGTTGGGAAATGCTTCTGCCATGGTTCGATGAGCGTGTCGCAGCTCTACAGTTGCATGATCGTACCTCTCTGCTAATGCACGATATGCTCGATAGAACTCCTCCACCAGTTTCATGAGCTCCGGGCGTTTCTTGTAGTACATTTCTGCCCTCCTTGCAAAAGAATCTGCATCTTCTTCAATGAGCTTGATCATTGCTTTGACTTTGGAATCCATGTCTGCATAATAAGATTTCGGGTCAATTACGAATGTAGCATGAAAAATCCAAGGACATCCATCTGCAAAAATACACTCAATTGCACATGCTGAGGAGAAAGAGAGGAATCGAATGACAAAATTCCAAGGAAACTGATTTTTTTATCTACACTGACCTCAAAATTTCTTTTAAAACATATTTCATATGCTTGACATTATATCATGCTAATACCATAGATCACAAAACTTGAGATCCACCATATTTTGCTTCCGTTCATTTTTGGTCTAGCTTCATCTAGTTTCATGTTCAAATTAATGTGAATGTTAATGACCATAGTTTCACAGAAAAGTAACTGGACATGAAAAACTTATGCAGTTATACTGTCCTATGTTGGTCAAGCAAATACAAACCAGGCGTGCGAATGCAACTGGCCACGCAAAGAACAGTTTTCAGTATCTAGTGTTAGTTCTATATACTCTCGTCCCTCATCTATCAGCCTCTTCTCTCCCCTTTCATCTTAATCTAAATACAAAAAAGCTGTATCCTATTGGCATGACTTCATCCATGCCTCCGAAAGAGAACAATATAGGCAACTACTTTACTTAAGATCCTATGTTGGCAACCATGCATAACAACGAAAATGCTGTGTCTTGTTGGTATTACTTGGCATCAGACATGATTAGAGGCTATATGCTTAGTGCATAAAACTGAGAGCTTATATCTGCATCCGAACAAAATTGATTTCAATCCAAATCCTGCTAACAAAATTGTATGAAAAATATCAAGACCTGTAAGATTCTCCTGAAGCCACTTTGAATTCTTTGGAATGTGACTATCCCACCACCAAGAATATAAGCGTCTGGACTCGGAGTGTAACATGGTTGCCATGACCCCGGCGCAGCACAACAACAGAACTTGTTTTGAGTAGGGAAAGGCCAGATTATCAGTTCAATGAACTTCCACCCCTCAGTATTCCAGACGAAAATGTGTGGTTCTGTCTCTCACTCCTTTCACCTGTGCACCAAAATCATCAAAGAAAGTTTTACAAAGATTGTCGGAATGGAATGAAGTTCACACCAGCAAGAAGGTATCAAGACAAAACAAACGATACAAAATTGCATACTGCCTGCTGTATTAGACAGATACAATTGATCCAAGAAGACATCAACAAAAACAAAAACAATGTGGAAAACTGAAGTTTTCTTCAATGTATAAGAAATCAAAAATCATGTGGAAAACCAGTACACAGCAGCTTTTTTAAATTTTTTAAAATTCATAAAACAAGAAGCCAAAAAGCACAGACCACCTCAATAGATCAAATACAGAAAGAGTTCGTGAGAAATGAACAAATCAAAGATGGGTGATTTTGCAAATCTGTTCCAAAACAACAAGAGAGAAAGATTAAAAGGTTGACTTTTCGTTTCCTCTATTTTATTAACCATATGATCAAGAACTTACCAGTAGATTGACTGCTAGCCGGTGCTGGGATTTTCAATCAGCAAGTGATAAATCAAAGGAAACATCGTAAATGCATCAGTTTTATGCAGATGGGTCATCATAAAAACTGCAAAAGCTTCAACCTTTGTGAACTCATGAGATTAAAAACTTACTCGATGAATGATTTCAGAGGTGGGCTTCTGACAGAACATCAAAATCTCCCATTAAAACCATTGGGGTTTTTTAATACATATTGAAGAAAAAAAAAAAAAAAAGATAGATTTTTTCAACTCTGTTTGGATCAAGTAATGCCAGAAGAATGAAAAACTTGTATTCTGATCAGCAGCTATGATTGGAAAACTCCAGCTGCATACATCACAAGTTCACCCCATTCTCTCTCTCTCTCTCTCTCTCGCAAACAGAAAACTCTGTCACTACTCTTCTCTCTTTATTGGGTTTTGTGCAGTATATTTGACAGATTTGGAACGTGGCTGTTTGATGACACTGTAAAAGGCCAGAAAGAGAGAATGAGGAAGTTAAAAAAGTAAGAAAAATGTAATTGAAAATATTTTCATGCTCTTGGAAACACTATTGTAATTTTTTTTCTTCTAAATAAATGATATTATTTACTGTAAAATCTTTATTTTTCTTTAAGAAGAAGGGAGTTAAGTTAAGTCTTAATAATAGATAAGTAATAATGTGGTTCAAATTTACCTTTAATGAGAATCTAACGTACAAGTGAATAGAAATAACAATAGATTGTGATACTATTGTAATTTTTTATTTTGAACAAACAATATAATCTACAATAAGAGGAGGGATGAACTTAATCTTATAATGGACTAACAATAATGTGATTCAAATTCACCTTTAACTAGAATCGAACTTAAAACTTCTTACTTACTATAATACTAATTAACTAAAACACTACTAAAATTGAAAATTGAAAAATCAGAGTGATGATTTAAGAAATAATATAATACTGCAAGAGTTATGCTGTCGTTTGTCGTCTAAGGGAACCAAATTACTAATCTTTTACGTCTCTTCCTCGTGGCATCATTGCATTGCTCTTGCTACTTACTTTTGATGTCTTTTGTTGTAATTCTATGTTTCGGGATCGTAATACACTAAATATGTGTTGTTGATTAGCATATCATGTATCACATAATTACAAAAATAAAGTCCAATAAGCTTGTAGTCAACGAAGTCCAATAAGTTAAATCTGTTTATAAGTTCAATTCATGATAATGTATTTTTTTCTATAAAATTTGTTTATAGGTTTAATTTACTAGAATTATTATTTTTTCTTTAAAATCCGTTCATAGGTTCAATTCATCAGAATTGTATTTTATCTCTAAAATCTATTTATAGGTTCAATTTCTGTACACTAAGAAGGCTAATAATTTCAAATAATTTTTCTTTTTGTTGGAGTATTAGATGAGCATCATATGATAGTACAATGGATAGTCAGAAATGACAACTTTAAAACCTTATGTGAATATCGGGAATAAAAATTGCATCTTACAATGATATGATGCTCGAAAAGTATCATAGGAAACAAAATAGAAAAACCAAGTGAGCTCCAATAAAAAAAAATCCAAAGAAAACCACATGGAACAAAATTTCAGGGTAGTAAAAAAAGTGTCACACATAAGGCAATTAATCCTACATGGTCGGGCCAATTGTTGGTCTCGCCCTAACACAATATTTATCAATGTTTTTCATTTTGTTTTTTTTTTTCTTCTTCGGTAGGACAATCATGAAGCACTGCTCTAAATCAAAATTTAGTATACAATGTGAACAATATTTCAGCACCATACAATAATTCTTTCACATTTACATCCATATATTTTGTTATATAACTCTTACCTTACATATATGTTGTTATTTTCCAATTTTTGGCTGAATTGCCAGTCTTATTTTTGCACGAATCTTCTAAATATGCACATACTACTTTTATGCATAGTTTTCCTTTATTAGCTACCCTAGTAGTTATGTCATTTAAGTGGTAAATATGAAATGAAACTATTTAATTACCAATAATTTTGTCTAGCGGTCTTGTTAGATTAGAAATTCAATGGCAGATCATACTACTTTAGGAAACCAAATAATCAAATCAATAATTTGTAATTGTCTAGTAAAGCTCACATGCATTTCTAACTGCAACGAATTAATGGGCACAATAAACATATGGAATTATCTAATAAACTATGTACAAAAAAAGGAAAAGAAAAATATGTGGGATGCTCCTGCTAGCTTCCATAAAGAATGGAACAAGTGCACCTGTCGAAACTTTCGACCCCCACCCCACCAAAAAAATGAAAGAACTTTGCTTAAAACAATCGCAAGCTGTCGATATTTTCTTCTAAAAGTTGCAAACAACACCAAATTGGAACTTTGGAATTTAGATACTCTTGGCTGAAAAATTAGACTAGCCCACATTCAGATTCTTATATAAAATTATTGGTAATTAGATTGTGGAGGATTTCCGTCACCTTTTTTCAGGTGGGCCGTCAGCTTTTCATGGTGGACCGGTTGGACTGGACGGTGGAGCCTCAGCCACCCCCTGTCTCCATCCTTCCTACAACTCTACAGCTACAGCATAACCCTACAGCGGAAGCAATTACCAGCTTGCTAGAAACACATAAACCCTAAATATTATTCCTCCATTCCTGCCTTAGGTGTAATACGTTAACAATACAACTATTTTACTTTATGTTTATAAATCAATTCATATGAGAAATGGTGTTGGATACTAATTAATTTACAATAGTTAATTATGTTGGTACCGCCCTTGTGTTTCTAAGCTTTACTCTCAATATTACATATATTCTTACGGTTGAAATGACAATGCGCTCATTTACAGTCTCTCTTTTGCAGTACACTCTTAACAACAATCTAATATGTATTTAATCGTTAGACGAGAAGATTACTCAAATTGTATAATAAAATGTGTGATCGATGGAACACATCCATCAACAGTTTCTAGCAGTACAAAGAAAGTGAGTAGCATGATAGCAAATGCATACCCACCATAATGCTAAAATAGAAAGGAAAAATCATGATTGCGGAGGTAGAAAGAAAATGAAGTTGCATCTTAAAATGGTGTTTTTTGGTAATGACAGCCATGCACATTTATATCTGAGTGTGGGAATGTAGCTAGGTTTTACATCGGGACCGTTGAAATAATGATCCTACAAATGCATGTCACATGGAGAGACTTTGACTCTGCAGTCACGTTGATAATGCTTATTTTCTGGGTTCACACAACAAGGTCATATGCATGTGTGTTGTCCCAGTAAATTAAGAACCCTAACCCTAACCATGTCATGCAATCGGTATCAGCTCGGTCATGATCGTCATGGACCACATTGGTGGTGCTAGCTAGGTCGAGTTCTACCAGATTCTATCTTCTTCTTTTTTTATAATTCTTGAATGAAATTGGTATGGTTAGTAGGAAACTGGTGAACATTGCTGTTTAATCAAGAAGAAAGCCCTCCAACCCTATAATAGTCTTGCCTAAACAATATCATTTGTGGTTGTGGGTCAGAAATTGTACTTAATTCAAAAGTTGCTTTTAACCAAACCCTAGATCCTCTTAGCAAGCCAAGTATATATCAATATTATGAACATTTGAACTACATATATAGCAGCAATGTTTGAATATTGATCGAGCATGCACATAATTAACAATATGAACCATTTGGTCCCACAATACTTGCAATTACTAGACATATATTCAACTAAATAAACATTATAGAGTCAGAGTTTTCAAGGAAAAAAGAGTGAAGCCAAGTAAAACTTCTTGATGCATTACTGGTTTAAGAACTATGGAGGAAAAAATGTTAGTGTCTCACGTCGAAATTTTTTTCTCATAAAAGGATATATTAAATGACGTACTATTGTATAGTGGCATTCCTTTTCACTTATAAGTGAGAAACCTTAGGTTCAAATAGTCTAGTGATATTTTTCTTCACTTGTAAGTAAGAGGTTTTATGTTCGATTCTCGCTAAAGGAAAATTTGAACCACATTATTGCTAGTCCATTGTAGGGCTAAGCCTACTCCCTCACCCTCTTAGTGTAGATAATATCGTCTGTTAAAAAAAAAAATTCTTGCCAAAGAAGAATTTGAACCACATTATTGCTAGCTCATTGTGATGCTTAGTCCACTCCCCCACTCCCTTAGTGTAGATAATATCGCTTGTTAAAAAAAATGATATGTTAAATGACAATTCTGTTTTAATTATACCAAAATATTTTGAGATATTGTGGATTAATTTGAATAGGAGGGGCATATAACTTAAATTTATGTTGGAGTTTTGGAGCTTGTGACACTTCCAAAGACTACAGCTTGTATTGATTTAGACAGTGAGCATACTATACTGATCACCTTATTTTTCCTCCTATTTGATGCTTACCACCCACCAAATTTAAGCTACAATACTTTGAAGACACTAGAGTTGTCGGCCACCGACTAATATGATGTGTTCCCTCCTCCCTCCTCCCTCCCTTTATCTCTCTCTCAAATTATTGGAAATGTGGAAATTTCATATATGACCTCTCTTAATCACGCTTCCAGAACAAACACTCTCCACCAACTAACTAAAAAAAATCGTCTTACAAATCTAGAAAAGCAATGTGTGGGGTGGGGAGATGGATGGAGAAATAATAGTGGAAATTGCAAATGGACCCCAACCTAAAACCGAAACATGATCATGTTCGAGATTTTGTTTGTGTTTTAGCTTTTTGTGTTTTAGCGAATGCCACCCATGTTCCCCTCACTGTTGGGAAAACGTCAATCTGTCATTTGCTACCATTTGTGACACCTCCACATTTAAAAAAGTCATTTTTTGAAGAACATTGAAATTTCACTAAAAACTAATTGGCAATATGACAAGTAGTCCAAACTCTTATAAGACCTTGCAAGATTTCTCATTTCACCAATGTATGACTCTTTTACCTTCATATTCTAAATGTCGTTCTTTTCACTTTCTAATTGGTACATTGAAAAACACTAACTGTTTCTAATTTAAAATTCAACAAGAGATGAGCGACAAGGAAAGGGAATGCGAGAAACACACTCTTTATGATCAATTTCAATACTCTGGCGATTAAACCGTTTACGAGCTCCTGTTGTTATTACGTGCAAGTCTATAGGTATATGCTTATATAAGTTGGTATAGTTATTTGGCACGCTACAATGAAAGGGATGATGTGCGATAGAGTATCACACATCAGAAGTACGACAAAATTTACAATAGTTTGTAAGTAAGTGGTCTAATGCTAATTGCAACGATGCCTTTTTAGATGTTTATGTTAGACCTAGGTGGTTAGGTTGGTGATGTCGGTCCATGATTTGAACACTATAGTAGACACGAGGCTAATTAACTGGAGCAGTGCGCTGAAGTACAAACGCAAATTGCAGCTGAGCCTGAGACCATGCTTTAAGAGAAAATCATAGTTTTT